CTTATTGATCGTTTGACCGTCCGGAAGGAATTCATAGTGCACCACACCACGAATATCGAAAAAATAAGTCAACATAACCTTGATTTTGCACCGACTTTGGCATTCTCTTTGCGGTTTCGGGTCACCTTCGAAGCACCATTCGGTCGATTGTTGTTTGGTGGGCATGACAAATTCATAGACCCATGTCTCATCACCAGTTATGATGCGTTCGATGGAAGTGGGGTCACTATCTGCGTTGGAAATCATCTTTTTGGTCACATCACAACGACGCTTTTTTTGAATGAAATTCAGCTAAAAATTGCCACACGAAAATTTTTCGTTAATTTGTTAATGAATTTTCACAGTAAATTAAAAAAAAATTTCTAGTGCGAACATACAAGTCAAGTACATCCAAAAGGTGGCTAATGAACGCTAACTCTGATCTTTAAATTTAGCACGGCACGAGTTCAACCTTAAGTACTTGCAATCTAAAAAAATTATTTTCTAATAATTAAATATAAGAAATAATTCTAAGGCCGTTGATGGGTAATGATAGATAATACTCGAGCTAGCTGTGGTTAGCCAAAAATTTAAAATTTAATATAAAAAAGAATTTTTGTTGTTATGATTCATTACTATATGAAACCTCTCTACTGAATACAATAGTTTCTATTAAGTAAAATAGTCACTTCCATCATCATTAATGTTAAACTACAACTTAAAAAAAAAAAAATTATTATTTGAAAAAAAAAACATTAGCTGCAAACAAAACCATCATCATAAGCATTTAGTTCTGGAGGTCAGAATAAGCTTTATCCACTTTATGTAAACTTGATGCAAAAAAAAAAAAATAAAATGAAATAGGATAAAATAAAAATTACTCTGCGTTCACCTACAATTTATCGATAAGCTTTAAAGTTTATCTCTCATTGTTATCGAATGTAACTTTGTAATCCTACATTTTATTTTAAATCCTGTAGCAAAATTTGCATTGTCCTTAAACAATGCACTATTTTCCTCTAACAAAACAATAACAAACAATACATTTGAGCTCTTTGAACTCATTTCTATTTAGTCATATCACTTATTCATCTTTATTGTCTTCCCCAATTCAAATCTTATCCGCTTTGGGTTTTTCAATATTGCGATTACATTGGGGATATGTAAAAATAAATGGAAAATGTTGACTTTTTAACCTAAGAAACAAAAGAGATTTGAAAATTGTTAGAATTGTTTGTTTGTCTTAGATATTTTTTCTTAAAAAAAAATATTATTTTATCTATGTCAATAATACTATTTATTGTGGTACATAATATTAAAGTAATTGGAATGAAGTTATAAATAAAAATATATATTTTTTATTCAAATAAAAATGAGTACCAAAAAATATATCAAAAAATAGTCAAAAAAGATATGACAAAATAGTTTGTCATAACTTTACTTATTATTTATTTATATTAAATTTTGTAATTTATTTATATTGAATTTTTATTTTTTTTATCTTTTCTATATTTAATCATTAAATATTAAAAAGTATTTAAACAATATACAAAAGATGATAGGTTTATAGTACTTTAGCTGAATCAAAATGTACTCCTACATACGTACTTCACATAGTTGGTTAAATGAATTCATAAATATTAAATAAATTTTATTTTAATAAATTTTCAATTTTCTATGCATTAATTTATACTAATATTAAATTGAAGATACTTGTTTTTGCATATCTTATGCAAAGATGTAAGTAATCCTTTCAATTAAATCTTTTGTCTCGAATAACAAAGATGCACTTTTCATCTGATGAGCTCTCAAAAAGCTTTTAAATGTAGGCGAAACTAATTTCTAAACAATCTTCGGAAGTTGAACTTTAAGATATTATATCATGCATTTTTGTTAAGTGATTGTTTCAGTTTACACCGATAACAAGTAAATATTTGCCACAAATATCTTATCTGCAAAGTATTTCTGAGAAGTAGGGCGTGTATTTATTTTGTAAGTTTACTACAACAAATTTTGAAATTACCTTTATATTCTCAGAAACTTTGATTGAAATCATGAAGGCTTTCTTCATTTCATGCTCTGATGGATGAAGTTTTGTTAAATTAAATTAATTTTAACTGCAAATAGTTTTGATTGAAAATGCTTTACATAATTTAATCAAATTTATTACCTCTAAAATATAAATTTATAATTTATTTTTGAAAAATATCTTAGTTTAAGTCATATATGTTTAAGTAGTTTGTATATATAAATTACTTCTTTTTAATAAATGGATTTTTAAAATAGAACGAAACATATTGAAATTTTGACAATGTCTATTAGAATGACTTTATTGAAAACTTAATTTATGACATTAATATTTGAATTTATTTCCAAAGTATATACGTCAAGGTTGGTCCAAATAAATCGCAATCTGGAAGCCCAAT